ACCTTGATGAAAAAAGGATATGCTCTCGAGAGTAATATAAATTAGCCATATCACTGTTGGTTGAATTGTGAATGTCAAGAGCTCGATGAACATGTAGATCTCGACGAGTCCCACCGCTGAAACGTTATCGTCGCGTTTATGATCTAGATACACGTCCCTTGTATTGCGCCCAAGACAACCGCGTTTCGCCGGCGTTAATTGGTGTATACTAAAATACCACAGCTATTCGTTTGAAGCCATAGGTACCACTTCGACTGCTCGCGTGCAGAATCGAGAACACCACAAGAAAAGCAACATACCCTTTCCTGGACCAAAGTATATCCCAGCCCGCAAGATCAAAGTCCGAGGCGGATCCCAAAAGGCATCTAGAGCAAGTGAAACCTGCAAATTTGGACGACTACCTACCTCGATTGAGGCGGTCAAGTCATATTGCCTTCGAACACAAGCGTCGTTTCTTGGGTCGTGTTGAGAGCATATTGAGGAAAAGATTCACTTCAGTTTGAATGGTGGCTAGAGAGTATGTTACGCACCTAGACACTAGGCAAAATGACTGCGAAACCAAGAACTGAAAGCTACGAGTAGGATGGCGCCGAGAATTGGGAAAATTCTTGTACTCAGGACTGCCAGGAATCATGTCAGGGGTACACGAATAACGAGAAATAGGATAAATATGAAGAAAACGACATACCCAAAGAATACCTCAACGTCACTATGGTGAACGCAAACGATATTCGCCATCTTGTTGAAGCATTAAGCAGCAGTGGTCGGTGGTTCCACTCTACGTAGAGGCCGCCCATTGATCCTTATGTTGGTATAGATTTGCGTCCAGCGGTGTATGTAGTCGGCTTAGTAATACAAATCAAGTAGATGGAGACAGCAAGCTAGGATAAACGACAATAATAATCCGTATAGATATGACCTATGGATCTTCTTCCTCCGGACTGAAGGCTCTGTGTCCTGTACTTCGTTTGGGGGTTCTACATTCCTTGTTACTGGTTGTATGATAAGAACAAATCGACTCGAATGAGGGAAAGATCTCACGCCACCATTCGTGAACTACAACGCTATCATTGTAAGTCATGTTGTGGTCACCATGATTCTCTGTGATGAAAGTGTCACTGATCCAGTTCCTCGCGGTGTCATAACACTGGATTACTGTCTTGGTAGTCAGAAAACAAAGTAACAAACCGGGAACAGTACCGACCGGGAACTAGTCCGAGATCATTCGAAACGCTAGTAGCATCTTCATTGCTGTTCTTGGAAAGAGCTGAAAGAGGGCCCCATTCTTAGCTTTTTTGGCTGAACGGGTATTAGGCTGTCTGGTATGACTTACTCGTCTGATGATGATCCTCCGCACAAACCTCCTCGCCAAACTCGCCCTCATACCTAGTGACAATGCCTTCATTCGTGTCATCTTCTGTATTTGCTACCAGGTCTACTTCCAGGCATTCCTCCAAGTTCTCCGTGACAAAAACCTCTGTACTTTCCGCTGGTGCAGAGGAATCTATGTCCAGATGATCTCTAGCTTCATTTGCATTGTCTCCTGCCTTTACTACCGTCAAGTCTACGTCTAGTAGACCACCATCCGAATTCCCTGCGATGAAAACCTCTATGTCTTCCTTTGGCGCAGAGGAATCTATATCCGGATGTTCTTTATCTTCATTTGGATTTGTCTCAAAGTCTTGATTATCAACATTCCAGCCCGGCCATTCCGCGAACATTCCCCACTCCGACGGATCAGCGGTAGCGTTCTTGCTATCAGGCTGTGATTTCGACTCAGAGCCCACAATCTCCCTTGTACCCCCTTTAGTTAGTTTGATGTGTCGGCGATCTTTCCCTTCTGCGACTTGTTCCGTCTCGAAATGCGATCTCCCAAACAACAAAGCCCAAGGCATCCCACTTCTGCTTCCTCCAGCATTGGCCCCATCTCCAGCTTCGTCTTCGTAGACTTCCTTGTCCGCTACTGGTTCAGCTGCCTGCTTATGGAATGGGTTCTTCGACGGGGGCGACTGTGAGGTGGAAGTGTGTGAGCGGGGGGCTTGCTGAGGATACTGATTTGGAAGGCCTTGCACCATAGCTGCAAGCGCAGAGCTCATATACGGTAGAGTTGCAAGCCTCGGGGCGCCCCAAGGTAGTGCAAACTGAGGGTAATAGTGTGGATGGGGCGATTGTGCATTATAATAACGATCATAATGAGGGAGAGGCGGTTGAGATCCATGTCCTCGGTCATCACGGTAGATATGCGATAGACGTGCAGGGCTGAGTGCTCCCGAAGGTGGCGCAAACTGAGGGTAATAGTGAGGACGAGATGATTGTAGATTATAATACTGATCATAATGAGGGGGATGCAGTTGTGGTCCATAGCTACGGTCGTCGTATGAGTCATGAGGTGGAAGTTGCTGATGGTCATCACGGTACTGGGGTATTTCGATTGATTCGGACGGCCTGTGACCTGTGACCTCGCCATCCGGATTTCGAGGTTCGGATGGGGCGCTGGCGGTCTGTGACCGCCGAAAAATTTCGGATTTGGCGCCCAGAAACTGCCAAATTTGGAGTGAAATTGGGCGCTTTTCAGAGGTCACATTCCGTTGACGCTGTGGATTGGGCCACGGGTCATGATTGTCAGGATGAGCGTCTTGCTGAGGTGGAGGTCCCTGCTGAGGATACTGATTTGGAGGGCCGTGCTCCATATCCAGAGGCACAGAGATCATATGCGGTAGAGGTGCAGGGCTCGATGCGCCCGAAGGGGGTGCAAGCTGAGGGGGATGAGGTAATTGTGGATTATAATATTGAGCATAATGAGGGGAATGCAGTTGCGGTCCATAGCCTTGGTTGTCGTATGAGTCACGAGGTGGCAGTTGCTGACGGTCATCACGATAGCTTTGATGCTGTGGATTGTGTCGCGGGTCGTAATTGTCAGGATAAGCATCTCGCTGAGGCGCAGGCCCATATTGGCGAGGAGGCGTTGTATGACTTTCATAAGCGTCGTTGAGATCATGTGGTTCTGGGCCATAACCGCCATAGCCCATAGAAAGTGGTATGTGATGTGTATAACTGGGGTCTGATGCGGAGTAGTATGGCATCCTTGGTCTACTGGGATAGAATTCTTCCTCGTCTTCGTACCTATAGTCATATCGGGAAGCTGGTGGTCGTCGCTGTCCTAGATTGTTTCGTATTCGTCAGCATCGCATCTGCACAAGCTCCGCAAAGAGCACACCTCTTCCTGTCCTGGCAGTATACTTGGCCCCGGGGTTAATGACATTGTTGTTTCCGTAATTTTCTTTATTATACGAGTCGATATCGCCGGAGATATGATTGTTGGCGTTTCCGCTGTCGTTATTTTGGGCGCCGTGAACGTTATTAAAGGCGCCGCCATTGATAGTGAAGCCGTGGCCCTCATTGATCATTGTGGGTTTATGCGAAGTGAGACGAAGGGCAGCTCGTCGGTAGGGGGAAGGGAGAAGGTGATAAAGGGTAAGTTACTAATGGTAGGCATTGTCCACTCTTTCAAGCTCCGCAAGAGCCCATTTCTTCGGCGTTTACCAAAGTGGTGCTCAATTTCAACCGTAATGAAACCAAAACGAGCGCATCACAGGACAACACACTAACGCTAGCCCAAAAATTTCTCCGCCAGTGGCGTAGAATGCGATGTACCCATGGACTTCGTCAAAACTTCGTCGACCCGTTCAGCTCATCGAGCAAGCTGAATATCATCGAAGGTATGCCCGCATGAAATGTACTGTACACTGAAACATATCCTGTGAACTTAAACTATCACCAAAATCTGGCGAGGATCACGAAAGACTCGCCGTATCCATTGCCATGGCAAAGCTTGCGTGTTTCATCTTGAGAGTTCGGAAGGGCACGAGACGAATGAACTACATAACATCAAAAACAGCACCCTAAATAAGTATTCCCCGGGCCGACTGAGAGTCGAATCCAGGTGACGCATCACGAACCATTACCATGGCAAGGTATGTGTTCCATCTTGAGAGTTCGGAAGAGCACGAGACGATTGAACTACATAACATCAAAAACAGCATCCTAAATCAAGTATTCCCCGACGGAGAGTCGAACGCAGCTGACGCGGACGTTCCCAACCTACTGTATAACATCATGATTAGGTAATTGTACCGCGTCAACTGACTGAAGCTGATATGAAAAATGTGAGGTGGATTCAGACAATTCACATTATAAAGTAGAAGTTTACGTAAACGTGAGCCTTCCCTAGCTGAGAATAAAATTCAGTGTACGTCGAAACTCATCGCCTGTACCTGATGTCACGGTGACGCCTCAAAGTCAGAACAACCGTGACATACACTAGGACGATCGGCAGACGTACTGCAGTTATGGCTAGCATGAAAAGGGAAAAGGATAGAGATACGGATGGAGAGTCAGTAGAATTTAAAGCCACGTACCTCAAGCATCGAGCAACTCTTGAAGGAAGCAGAATTGATATCGACATCGTGGTACAAAGCCAGCTGACGCCAAAACTCTGGAGTCTGATCTATAGAGCCGAACACATCACATGAGAATACACATTGAAATCGAAGGTATGTCCACGCCTAGATTCACACAACAACATCTACACAAGCTGGACAATCAACACACGTACCTGGGCAATATCAATCATGAGCTACACCACACTAACAATGACTTGCGGATACAATACCAAGTTTTCCCTCGAAGCGGTTCCTATATCAGAGAAACGAAAACAGAAAGCCAAAATGTCGCAAGTTTGCTATACCTCCCTGGCTGGGAGTCGAACCCAGCTTTCGCGCGGATAGATTGTCTCCACTTGAAGATGACAGGCGCGCCGATACACTACCAGGGAGTGTTTGTAGCGCCAACTGTCTTGGTAGGGATTCAGCTTTGCAACCTCTCCACAGAGAAACATACCTTTCACCGACGTACGATATCAAAAAATTTTCGCGCCTCGAAGCGGGTCCTATATCAGAGAAACGAAAACAAAAAGCCAAAATCCTATGGATATGTTATACCTCCCTGGCTGGGAGTCGAACCCAGCTTTTGCGCGAAGAAATTGTGTCCAACGAGATGACAGGGGCGTGTCCTAGCCGATAGACCACCAGGGAGTTGCACCTGGTCCTCACGCAAGGTATTCTCGTAGCGCCAACTAGCCTGGTAAATATTCAGCTTTGCCGCAACCTTTCCACAAGAAAACATACGCCCACGTACGATATCGAGCATTGCAATGAGCTCGAACATGGTGGTACGAAACCAACCTGAACTCGGGCTAGACCGAACACGTCACATCACATGTTTTATTACCCTAACCCTAACCAGACCGGAAAAAATTTTCTCTGACGTCAACGGTCATGTTCCTCAGAGCACTTTCTCGAATACCACTACGCCTTCCACTACGCCTTGCTCCTCCTCATTCACGCGCACGACTTCAACCTTACTCTCATTTACGAACCAAGCCGACATGCCTCCCAACGCTGACCAGGTCGTTCTCAACGACACGTACAAACCAAGAGCAGGAACAGCGACGGTTTGGTGCAATAGATGGTAAACCAGTTTGGATGGTACGTGCCCTCGTTTTCTCTTGAGCTACCTGCTGACGTGGCAAAAAGACAGAACACGAAGCCCAGCAAGCTATCCAGCGGGCGTACGAAATTTGGCCTGCCCTTCCTTCCACTTCCACCGCCTCTACACCCAACGAAGAAGACACGGAATGGTCCTCCGACTGGTCGTCCTTCCCGGACCTCCTAGTGCTATACGCCCCCTCGCCGTTTTACCTCTCAATCCCCATGATAGAGATGGTCGTGAACTTGCGCTATGGGATTCAAGGGCAAACCAGGGGGCTCGTATTTCGTTCCTTGGCCGAAGATGTAGAGGAAGGGGAGGAGGGGGTTGAAGGGGTGTCTGAACACCAGCTGGGCGAGGAAGAAGAGGTTGAAGCAGGGAAAGAAGGCGTGCTAGACACACCCCCGGACGAATCATTCCTATTCACAATCCACGGCGCTGAAGAATCCGCCGTCTATCTCCTTGACACGAACACCCTGCAAGTCCATCAACTGTTCTCTTCCCCCACACCCACCTCGACACCCACACCAATCAAAACATCTCAACTCCCCGAACTACTGAACACTCCTGCCGACTCTAGCTCTACTAAAGTCACATATCACCCCCTCCCTATACACCCCGAAGGAGACGCACTCGTCCAACGGATATTTGCTTCTGACCCCAGTGTTCGAGAGGAATTAGCAGACGACCGGTGGTTAGGCTACATGCCCGCATATGCACCACCAACATTGGGTACAGAAGTCGAAGCCGAAGGTGTAGAGATGGAGAAAGAGGAGGAAAAGGAACTAGTCGAAGAAGCGAGAGCGGAAGGTCTAACGAGCGACATTGACGCGTTGGAGGAGATGATAAAAGAGTCGGAAACACTCGCGCAGGAGATCTCGTCATCCGATTCCAGCTCTTCGGTACCGGAAGCAGAACCAGAAGACCCTCAACCAACGACACCCCTCTCCGACGACCCGCTAGTTGCACAAGCAGTCGAAAGCATCCTCTCAGGCGGTGGTGTACCGGACGTCAACTTCCTGCGTACGCTTAGCGTGGAACAGTTGGCTGAGGTTCAAAGGCGGTTGGAGGTAGAATTGGATGGGCGGTAGTGATAGCTACATCTACATTACGCTGTAATACACAAACGTGAATCAAAACAAAAAGATATAACAAATTGGTTTATGCTCCCTGGCTGGGAGTCGAACCCAGCTTTCGCCCGACAACCGTATGTGGATATCGGGATGACAGGCGCGTGTACTAACCGATATACTACCAGGGACAGTATACGTTTGCTTTTTCGGTATCACACATGTGCATTTGTTTAGTTGAGCTTGCATCGAAAAAACCAAATGGCTTTCGATCCACTGATCTCCACCCGGATTGAACGGATGACCTTCGGGATTCACCTGCAACACAGTCTGACTGGAATCCGACGCTCTACCGCTGAGCTAGGAGATCGACGATTAATACCAGTCGTATCACGACTTTATTGGTTATCTCATATGTTGAGTGAATGTCTAAACAACTGTACGTGAAACGGTGCGACATTCCCGGGCCTAGTCGTTAATTATCCCGAACCGAGTCATTAAACCAACACACATCCGGGACACGTAAAAAAACTGACTGTGACAATTGGTATGTTCCCTGGCTGGGAATTGAACCCAGCTTTCCCGTGCAAAGTTAGATTTTGTCAACCGCATATGTATGACAGGCGCGTGTACTGACCGATATACTACCAGGGACGTGAACGTCGGCCTATTATGGTTCTCAGACCACGACGGGTGTAAGAGTTGAAGTGATTGAACAGATGCACTACAATGTAGAGTATACTGGCATCCGGTGAGATAAGAGATCCATGCCGATACCCTTCCGTTGATGTCGATGAAGGCCAAAACAAGACTGCCCTTGGCGTGAAGTTCCGAATACTGACAATTAGCAACTATCCTTACCTTACCGCACCAGCGAAATGTCCCCGTAGATGCAATTGAATTGCAACGGGGAAAATCACTTGCAGCGCCCGAAATCCTTGCGTTGGATTGCAACGCAAGTTACCTTGTGACAGAACGATTGTAATTAGATTATCATAAGATCATAATACTATTATAAAAGGATTGCAAAGACTCACCTTTGTCGCAACGGGATTGCAACACGGGCGCTTATTGCAAGGCGCTTGCAACCGGCGCAGGATATTGCAACCTGATTGCAGCCGATTGCAGCCTGATTTCAACACCGTTACCACAAGGTAACCTGCGCTGCAAGCTGCCGTGAGGATTCTGAATGTCCCAAGTGAATTTCGCAGGTGCAATTTGATCAAAACCAAGGTCAGGCTCACAAGAAAAGCTTGCATCCCACTCACACTGCTCGTCACACCATATTGTGCGTTCAAGATGACCTTATATTCATGCTACCCATTTACAATATACAAACACCTACACTACATGAGATACTGCAAAATACCCAACAACATACGCAACACTACCTGGCCAATGATTTAGTCACAGGATAAGTAGATGAAGAGGAATAACAAACCAGACATTGCCAGATATACTCAGGAGCATGAAGGTTGATACATTAACGTCTCTGAAGAGACGCGAATGAGCAAGTTGTATGCGTCGGGAATACAGAATAAGCTGACCTTGCTGCAAACAAATCCCACGCGACGGCATTCCACCAGGACTGGACTTGGCCAATAGCAAACGCCGAACGACGGAGTCAGGACGTAGAATATTGGTTAGCGCTGGTGAACAGGTCCTTTTCTTCGCGTTGACATGGCTTGTATGTTGATAACGAACTAATGACCACACTAAGACCATATCATGCGAATAGTCGAGAAAGTGCTTACCGCCACTGGACGCAAACCTCGTGGCATTTGCATGCAAATGCCTTTGAGGAAGTTGGCAGGAAGTCTGCAACGTTTCACCGTACTTGTTGCCTTACCCGAGGCCATTACACAGATAAGAGATGATCATAAATAGATATGATAGATCATAATTAAATGTTACATTGAGCATCCGTTATTGTACGCAACATGTTAATAACTCAAGTGATAAAATCAAGCAATCGTAAACAGGTAGGCAAGATCTATCACCAGCCTATCATGTAGAAAACAGCAGAACACTGCTCACCGTATATAGATGATAGTGACTCGAAGTCAGGATGGGATTATGGGAACCGAACGAGTACCGCAAAGATCGCTGTCCAGTGGTCCCACAATCACACGTGTCAGATCGTCGTACGTCGCAAAGAGGTCGTCCGGAGCAGAAAAAGGGCTGGGGAATGCGTGAACATTGATGAGAAAAGTGTCGGTGATGAGATGGTGAACGTCATTGGCGTGCTGGAAGCCAAGCTGAGCCATCAGTTCCTCCTCATCTCCAGTAGGTTGAGGTGGCCAGGCTTGACCCCTTAACGCTTGTAGATACTAGACACATGAGATCGTTGATGAGGACTTGATGGCTTATGTCCAGAGGGTGTATGCAAGAAGTGTCTCTGCTTGAATTGTCTGCAGCACGCGATGGGGATGTGCTGTGAGGTCTGTACTAGTTGTGTCTTTCAAAGCACGGAGCAAGAGATATGCTCCTGGCTACGACGTGCCTCAGGTGGTCTGGAAGTGGAAAGATCCCCTCCTAAGAAGGTGCTGATAAGGCCTGGACAAGTGCTGAGGATGTTCTTGAGGTAGTCGGAGAATGGCGCTCGAGAACCTGGACATGTTGAGAGCATGAACGTAGAATGTATCCGGTCTAGAGTGAAACAACAGTCAGTTAAACTCGTAAACTGTGGAACCAGCCCGCTGACAATGTAAAGGTTGTGTAAAGGATTTAAAAAGGACTCACAAAATCGGATCCAAGTCATAGCCAAAAGTTCCTGTGAAATAACTGGTCAGTGAGCAAAACTATGGCAAATGATATACGAACCTCGGACTCAGCGGCCAGTGATTTAGATGTGGTACGAACCAATGATGTATCTGAACTGAAATGTTAGGTGAGCGGTGACAAAAAAGACGCAGGGTGGAGTCATCGAGACTTTCGGAGGAGGCGGATTGGTCAATGGTAGCTGGTAGAGGAGAAATATTTGCATTGACATTAGGAATCGGAGAAACAGTTCGTAGACTGGAATCACGTCACTTGATTTATCTAACACGTGGCGTCACGTGTCGGTGGTGAGTGTGTCAAATGCCTCAAAGGCAGTTGCAATACAACTGCCACGAGGTTTGCGTCCAGTGCGCATATGGTCACAGTTGCCCGACAACGAGTTGAGGACATTGTCGGTGTCATAGGCCAGAGCAAAGGGTTACCCAGTTGACATTGTCGCGAGTTAAAGGTGTCTCGTTACTGCTTCCAGGAGGGGTCAACAATATTGGACCAGTAGAGCTTATTGACGTACCCAGCAAGCAGGGTGTTGAGCTCATGGATTGGCATAGGGCGTAGGATTGTGGTCAGTGAACAGGAGTTGCGTGGTTGAGCGTGTTTTGCAGTCTAAAACGTGCTATAGTGGATTTGAGATTAAATTTGAAGAATATAAGGTGAATTTCATACCGAGAGACGGGGCGAGCTCGCCGTAACCCACAGTGGTGGGCTAGGGCAGAGGGTTTTGAGTAGGTATTGTCATGACTTGTATTGCAGTTCATGCTGCCATTGATTCCAGACCTGCTGAAGTATGATAAGCATTATGACAAGAAGGAGAACGATATTGCGAACTGGATCAGACAGTGACCAAAGGGTCGAGCTCGTTGTCGCTGACAATGAGGAGATGATGGTGGTAGTGAAGAAAGCAGAGGAGGTGACGTGACGTCACGCGCGACTCGCATTTGAGCCGAGGTTTCCATGGTCCCGCACATTGCACGTGCCGGTCCATGAACCCTTCCGCCGCGGTTCTTTCCATTTAAGACTCTTTGCCTCACAACCACCATCGTCTACACGATGGCACCCAGGTATGCCTTACTGACTTTCTGTTCTTTACTATCTCTAACTCTGCTCGCTAGCTCTATCTACATACATACAGAGGAGGGAGGAACATCCAAAGGGAATAGTTGAGGTAATGGGCATGTAAGGTGCGTGTTCGACCATTCTTCTCCTTGTTTCCGTTCTTTCCCTTACTTTTACTGACCTATGTTCTACAGGTTTAGTTCCTAACATTTTAATTCTCCCTCGAAGACAGATCCACTTAACCACCGACCCCTCAACCAAGCCAACAAATTCGAGGGTATCCCGAGTGACATGGTCCCAACGTTGACGAATTCAGAGTCGGAATTCCACTCCATACACAATTCCATCACCGTCGGCCAACATCCGAGATCTTTTTTAGCCTCTGGCTACGAATAGAGTGGCGAATTCGTCAGTTCTGTAGTACCAGAGGCTATGATGAAGTCTCCGGGTGTTATGCAATGGTTCGCTCATTGTGCAACTATGCTTGTCCCCTTCAATTCAACCCACCACATTACCCGCCATACTCAAAACTAGACGCCACATTTGACTCGTTCAAGGTCTCTCCATGACAACCGCAATAACAATGATGTCCTTTCTGTTGGTTCCTCTGCCGCCGCTATTCCCGCACACGCGAAACTTCTCATCTGCCTCCTGGGTAGCAATCTGAGCTAGTATATCCTTCGTTTCATGGCCATCCTAGTCTTTGTTGTCAGAAATAACAACAGCTTTCTGCTTTTCTTTGGTCTTCGTGAAGACATAGGTGATTTCGAGATCAGAGTTGGACTGTGAACTATCCTCATTGTGATTATGATTGTCCCGCATGCGAGTTCACCTTTTGGCTCGATCATCAAGCAATTCCCCAGAACGCTTAGTGAGCGTCCGAATGAGCGGCGTTGAAGCAGAGGCATAACATGCCATTCTATTATACTGTAATTGCAATGATTAAATGTGTAATGGTAGCAATGCGCCTACCAGATCGCGGCAATTTTATCGGTAGGGGATTATGATCACTCGCAATCCTTTTATATGGTTAAAATCGTGTCACAATACTGTTGAAATAGGATTGCAATCAGCTAGAAGTATCTCAGTCCATTGCAAGTGCATTGAAATTACGTTGCAATCTGGCTGCAATCAATCACAATTCCTTCAGCCCATTGCAATCATGTTGCAATAAGCCGGCTTGTTGCAATCACGTTACAAATGTGTTGTATATCTACTGTAAACTAGTTGTAAATACATACAAGTCTTGCAGCTTGATGCAGCCCCCGAAATCGGCGGTAACTTAATTGCACGGTTCTTGTATCCATCGAGACATTTTGCTGGTGCGAGTCTACGACTCAAGATAGTGCAGTGGTGTCCAATTGGAGTTCTGATCAAATCAAGGATGACATTCTGAATCCGAGGTACTTGAGCAACAGGCCCTGAAATGGCCTACAGCAGCAGCGGAGATTGACCAATGTTCCTCCAGAGTAAGAACACGATCATTTCAAGCTTGGTCGCACCGGGACAAACATTTTCCAATCGTCTGGAGGTTCGTTTTTCGTCCTTGATAAGTAGCAACACCGGGCCGCCGGCCCAAGGGATTTATAGAATATCTGGGGCGCCGCGAACCGATGGCGCCCCGTCGTAGACACATGATGTACAATAGGGAGAGGTAATGAAGAAATGAATACGGGTGGGTAGACGAAAAACAAATGACCTGGCGGACAAAGAAATAAGGTAAGAACACTAAAAACTGTATCGTAACCATTAGACTTACCTGGCGGACAAAGAAATAAGATTAGGGTGTCCGCCAGGAGTACAGGATAGATAAATACTAG